ATATATATATATATATATATATATATATATATATATATATATATATATATATTATTTTGTATTTTTTTACCTGCCGCAAATTATTATTTTTTTTTTTTTTACTGGCAGCTGCCAGGGATTTACTGGCACCTGCCAGCTTGAGTGGCACCTGTCACAATACTAAGAGCCACTACAGCAGACACTAGATGGCCAGCGTGTGGCAGAGCTGCCATGGCTACTACCCCTGTTTTGGGGTTTTGCCAATGCAGCTTTTTGGAAAATGTGATAGTTATATTGCCTGTTTGTAAATAATCATTTTTGAAATGTTGATGTTATTTGTTAATTAACCATGCAAGACCTTTAATATTTAGAATGAATTTACTTGATGGAAAATGTCAGAAGTAATTGAAGCTGCCACTAGGTGCCATTGTTTCAGTGGCAGCTACCACTAGTTCTAAGAAAAATAATTCAACAGCTGGATTGTTAAACAGCATTGATGGTTAATGTGTCTTTTTACTCAGAAAATGAAAAGTCGTTGGCACTCTGAAAGCCCCTGGCCATGTGGGTGCCACAAAACAGGGGCTGACATGGTGCCACCGGTTGCCAGATGGTGCCACCAGATAATAGTAATAATAATTGTATTCAATTAAACTAAGCCGATCCAAGAACAGCAGTTGTAAAATTACAAATTCCATTGCATTTTTAGGTTTAATTGCTGTACTATTCAAATTACAGTGGTGCATAGTCCTACAACCACTCAATGTTAGTATATTTTATTTTTCTGTTGTCAGTTTCAAATGACACGACAAGTGTAGCTAAAGTAATTGTATTGAAATTTTATTTTATGGTTGCCCACTTTAATCTTTGTCTAAAATGTCTATTTCCATGTTGTTGTTTTCTATTTTATGCAGACAAGAGACCGGTTGGAGGAGTTTGAAGACATTTCAATCTTGGAACCTAAAAACCGGATTCCAAAAAAGTTGGGACACTAAACAAATTGTGAATAAAAACTGAATGCAATGATGTGGACATGGCAAATGTCAATATTTTATTCGTAATATAACATAGATGACAGATCAAAAGTTTAATCTGAGTAAATGTAACATTTTAAAGGAAAAATATGTTGATTCAAAATTTCACAGTGTCAACAAATCCCAAAAAAGCTGGGACAAGTAGCAATAAGTGGCTGGAAAAAGGAAATTGAGCATATAATGAACAGCTGGAAGACCAATTAACACTACTTAGGTCAAATGACAACATGATTGGGTATAAAAAGAACTTCCCAGAGTGTCAGTGTCTCTCAGAAGCCAAGATGGTATGAGGATCACCAATTACACCATTGTTACACAGAAAGATAGTGCAACAATACCAGAATGGTGTTACCCAGCGTAAAATAGCAAAGACTTTTAAGTTATCATCATCAACCGTGCATAACATCATCAAAAGATTCAGAGAATCTGGAACAATCGCTGTGCGTAAGGGTCAAGGCCGGAAAACTCTACTGGATGCTCGTGATCTCCGGGCCCTTAAACGTCATTGCACCTTAAACAGGAATGCCACTGTCAAGGAAATAACAGAATGGGCTCAAGAATATTTCCAGAAAGCATTGTCAGTGAACACAATCCACCGTGCCATCCGCCGTTGCCAGCTGAAACTCTACAGCGCAAAGAGGAAGCCATTTCTAAGCAAGCTCCACAAGCTCAGACGTTTGCACTGGGCCAGGGGTCATTTAAAATGGAGTGAGGCAAAATGGAAGACTGTTCTATGGTCAGATGAGTCACGATTTGAAGTTCTTTATGGAACACTGGGACGCCATGTCATCCGAACCAGAGCGGACAAGGATAGCCCAAGTTGTTATCAACGCTCCGTTCAGAAGCCTGCATCACTGATGGTATGGGGTTGCATGAGCGCTTGTGGCATGGGCAGCTTGCATGTCTGGAAAGGCACCATTAATGCAGAGAACTATGTTCAGGTTCTAGAACAACATATGCTCCCATCTAGACGTCATCTCTTTCAGGGAAGACCCTGCATTTTTCAACACGATAATGCCAGACCACATTCTGCAACAATCACAACATCATGGCTACGTAGGAGAAGGATCCGGGTACTGAAATGGCCAGCCTGCAGTCCAGATCTTTCACCTATAGAGAACATTTGGCGCATCATAAAGAGGAAGGTGCGACAAAGAAGGCCCAAGACGATTGAACAGTTAGAGGCCTGTATTAGACATGAATGGGAAAGCATTCCTATTTCTAAACTTGAGAAACTGGTCTCCTCTGTCCCCGGACATATACTGAGTGTTGTAAGAAGAAGGGGGGATGCCAAACAGTGGTAAAAATGGACTTGTCCCAACTTTTTTGGGATTTGTTGACGCCATGAAATTTGGAAACAACAGATTTTTCCCTTAAAATGATACATTCTCTCAGTTTAAACTTTTGATCTGTGATTTGTGTTCTATTCTGAATAAAATATTAGATGTTGGCACCTCCACATCATTGCATTCAGTTTTTATTCACAATTTGTTTAGTGTCACAACTTTTTTGGAATCCGGTTTATGCTTTAACAAAAACACTGAAGGGGAAAGGAGTGGACTTTGTTCAAGTTGACTAGTTATTTAAGGTGTTGTAACTTTAAAGGTCACCTTTTTGTGCTGTGCTATTTTTGGCTTGATGTTTTTTCACAGTTTTGTTGATTTGTCATGTTGTACTGCCATTGTGTGATAATTTTAAGTTACTCCAACCCTATTTATTCAGCCTTTCTTCTTTGTCTGCAGGTCAGAACATGGAAATAGGCAAATTAGACAAAGATTAAAGTGGGCAACCATAAAATACATTCTCAATACAATTACTTGAGCTCAACTTGTCGTGTCATTTGAAACGGAGAATTGCAAAAAAATAAAATATACTAACATTGAGTGGTTGTCTGCTGTAGTGGCTCTTAGTATTGTGACAGGTGCCACTCAAGCTGGCAGGTACCAGTAAATCGCTGGCAGCTGCCAGTAAATTTTCGGCAGGTAAAATATAATTATAATAATAATTAAAAAAATTAAATCTAGAGAAGCCGTCATCTGTCGCTACAAGAGAAGCCATGTCATCTGTTACTAATCTCTGGCAGCTGCCAGTAAATCCCTGGTAGGTGCCAGTAAACAAAAAATATGGTGGCAGGTAAAAAAATATATATAATAATTTAATAAAAAATAAAATAAATCGAGAGAAGCTGTGTCATCTGTCACTAAAAGAGAAACCATGTCATCTGTCATAAAATCTCTGTCTGCTGCCAGTAACTCCATGGCAGATGCCAGTAAAAAAACAAAATAAAACAACAATAATAATAATCAAAAAAATAAATAAATAAATTTCCGGCACGTAAAAAAACCCAAAAAAACTGAGCGCTTCCTCAGCTTTGAAAAAAGAAAAGAAAAGAAACTGTCCAGATGACCTGACTGAAAATTGTTGGATTGTATACCTGAATTATTGAGCATGGACGTTTTTGGTTTTGAACCAGTTTGTCATGACTATCGATGAGGAAGAGGGCCGGCAACAGAGGAGGGGGCGTGCCAAAGACACTATCTTAGCACCAACATAACCGGTTTGTTCCACTTTGGAGTAAGCTGTTTGGGGGAAGAATCAGTTTTGTGTTGTGTGTTTCATTGACTGATGAAGCCTTCTGGATGGAAGGTGAAACGTTTCAGCAAAAAAAGAAACTGTCCAGATGACCTGACTGAAAATTGTTCATTTTCATTTATATTTACAACAAATATATGCTACATAAAACCTCTTGAGACCCTGAATCTTAATAAAGACTGGTTGTCCTTAAGGGGACCTGGATTTTAAGTTTTATTACTATCCATCCATTATCTTTAACCCGCTTCTTCCATTTTGGGTCACGGGGGTCGCTGGTGCCCATGTCCAGCAATCACTGTGCGAGGAGCGGGATACACCCTGGACAGGTCTCCAGTCCATCACAGGGACACATGGAGACAAACGAGACAAACAACCATTCACTCTCTCTTTCACACCTAGGGACAATTTAAATGGTAAATGGTAAATGGACTGTACTTTTATAGCACCTTTCCATCTTATTTCAAGATACTCAAAGCTCTTTACACTAAAATCTGTGCCTCATTTACCCATTCATCCAGCACTCTACTAGATCTCTACAAAGCTAATTGAACAAATCATTCTAATGAGACTAATCAGAGCTTTAGCTCACATTCATACACTGATGGGACACACATCAGAGGCTATGAGGGATTCAGTGTCTTGCCCAGGGACACTTCAGCATGTGACTGCTGGTGGATTCGAACCCCCAACTCTCGCATTGGAGGACGACTGCTCTAACCACTCAGTCACAGCCGACAATTTAGAGTTACCAATCAGCCTAATATGCAAGTTTTTGGTTTGTGGGAGGAAAACAGAGTACCCAGAGAAAACCCACGCAAGCACAGAGAGAACATGTAAACTCCACCCAGAAAGGTCCCCGGACTGGGATTCGAACCAGGGACCTGCTCACTGAGAGGCAGCAGCTCTGCCAGTTGCGCCACTGTGCCGCCCCGTTTTATTACTAATTTTAAGTTAAATATTTATTTACATCCGCCTATGGATGGAGGAGTTTAAGTATCTCAGGGTCTTGTTCACGAATGAGGGAAAAACGGAGCATGAGCTCGATAGGCAGATAGGTGCAGCGTCAACAGTGAAGCGGGCGTTGTACCGGTCTGTCGTGGTGAAGAGAGAGCGGAGTCAAAAGGTGAAGCTGTCAATTTACCGATCGATCTATGTTCCTACGCTCATCTATGGTCATGAGCTTTGGGTTGTGACCAAAAGAACGAGATCTCAGATACAAGCAGCCGAAATGAGTTTTCTCCACAGGGTGTCTGGGCTCTCCCTTAGAGATAGGGTGAGAAGCTCGATCATCCGGGAGGAAAACAGAGTAGAGCCTCTGCTTCTCCACATCGAGAGGAGCCAGTTGAGGTGGCTCGGGCATCTGTTTAGGATGCCTCCTGGACGCCTCCCTGGTGAGGTGTTCCGGACACGTCCCACCAGGAGGAGACCCAGAGGAAGACCCAGGACACGCTGGAGGGACTTTGTTTCTCGGCTGGCCTGGGAACGCCTTGGGATTCCCCTGGAGGAGCTGGCCCAAGTGGCTGGGGAGAGGGAAGTCTGGGCCTCCCTACTTAGGCTGCTACCCCCGCGACCCGACCCCAGATAAGTAGAAGAGAATGAATGGATTGATTTATTTACATTGTACCTCCTAAGTGAGTGAAAACAACATTACCTTTTACATTTATGTGGTTCTTCTAGTCAAAGCTTGGAACTGTCTGGTCAAGAGGGGCCAGTGAAGTGGTCACTAGGCCACTAAGTTTTTAAGAGTGGCCAGTGCAGAGTGAATCGAACACAAAAAGACTATAATTACAATCTCGCCCACTTTGCATTGACAATCCCACCCACAGAGTGGGGAAACAGGTCAGCCTCCACTGTAGTGGCAAATCACCTCCACCTGAAAAGAACTGAGTGGAGCCAGAGTACCAATGGCAAAGCAGCATTAGTGGTGACCCTGGTGGACAGAACAGGTTCTTCAAGCTCATGAAAGAACAAAAAGAACTATTTGTCATGCAACTACATCAGTGAGAACAGATTTCGTAAACCCTTGCAGAGCATAAATCCAGCTTTACTCAAAAACTGGATTTGTACTACATGTGTGGAGACATGGTGTACCTTAGTGAAGGTGACGGGGATGCCAGCATCCAGCTGAATGTGATCTGCCAGCTCAGTAAACTGGTGCTGCTGCTTCTGAAGAGTCTCCAGCAAACAGTTGATCTCCTGCTTGGCCAGCACAACTCTGCAGTCATCCTACACCAGGAGAGAAGCACCACACTTCACCATGTATTATGGACACAATACGTTGCTAAAAGCTAAAAGAAATCCTCGAGCTGTGTGTGTGTGTGTGTGTGTGTGTGTGCGCACCTGTTGAAGAGTTTTCTCACAGTGCAGGCAGGCAGTGGAGACCTGAGACAGCAGGATGGTCATGTCCTCCTGCTGCTGCCTCAGCCAGATCAGCCTCTCCCTGACGTGGGCGTCCACCACGCTCAGCGCCATCTCCTCCTGCCTACACAAAGTCTCATGGAGGTCTGCAAAGTAAGCTCGGACACAGGAGCGAGCGCTCTCTGCCGTGCCAGGGACCTGACGAGCACACAGAAAACCTGTTTAAACCAAACTAAACATTCCAACATTCAGGTTAGGAAAGAAAGTCCCGTGATGTATCTTACGTGTTCAGTATGTGCCATGCCTATTCCGTCTTCTACAATCTGCTCACCACCCTCGATCTGTTGCACGATGCCCACAAGCTTCCTCGAGTACTCAGACACTTCGTCCGTGAAGGTCCGGATGCAGTGTGCCATGTCCAGGATGGATGCACGGATCTGATTGGCTTCGGTCTCAAGAAGAGCATGCTGCAAAGAAAGTTTGTCATTATCTTTTATTAGGAGGGTCCAGATAAGGATAATGTTACCTACCTTATGTCCTTGGTGCTTGCCATACTCCTTACACACACAACACATGAGAGACCCAGACTGACAGGCTTCCTCTAGACAGACAAACTCGATGGCGTGGACCTGATGCTGAGGGCAGAGCATCTTCTCATGAGGTTTATCAGCCAGAGGAACCCGGCGGTGCTTGGCCAGCGTGCGGGTGGAGTGAGTGAGCTGAGAGCACTCGGCACACAAGTGGGTGGCGCACACGGTGCAGTACATGGATGCCGTGTGGCTCTCGTCCTCGTCACATCGGATTATACACTGAAAATAAAGGACAGATGTGTTTGACAGCAGCAGCAAGAGTCAACATGACTTGACTTTCAGAAACTCTGCAGAAAGCCGTCTTACTTCGCCCATGCCTTTCAGGGCATCATCAGCCATCCCTGACTGGTTGGTGGCTCCATTCTGGAGCCGCTCCAAGAGTTCAAGTAGAGCAAAGTTCTTCTTCAAACCCCAAACACCAGAGTCCCCTGAGCAGAAGGGGAAAAGACCACTTAAAGGACTAGATACCACATAAACTATGGAAATTACAAGTTCTGTCAACAAGCAGTGTGAACTCAAGAGTACTGAAAAGATTTTGCTGAAAAGAATTGTTAACGGTAAAAAAGCAGAACTCAAGCCAAAAGTTAGGATAGCAAAATGCTACCTCAAAGATAAAAATAGAAAGCAGCTGGCTAAAACCTAAAAGTAGAATAATGATAGCTAAAAGTTAAATGTATCAAAAGGTTAGCTAAAAGTTTAAAGTAGTAAAACAATAGATGTAATTAGCTGAAAAGTAGCTAAAACCTAAAAGTAGCATAAGACAAAATCAGATACCACTATCCTGAAATAGATTCCAAAGTCAACAATGTTTGAAGGAACTGAATTAATTTTTATGAGAAAAATGTTTGTAAACTAGAAAAATGTGCACTGCTGAGCATTAACTGATAATTTGAAAGATGAAACTAAAGAACAAAAAAAAAAAGAGTATTAAAATAAATAAAAGAATGCAGAAAAATTTGAAATTTGTAAACAAAAAAAAACCAAAAAGGCAGAAAAAGTTTAAATGAAAAACAACAAAAAGCAAAAAAAATGGTAGTTAAGAGCCAGAAGTAGCAAAACATTAACTCTCGTGAAAAAGTCCATGTTCAATAATCCAGGTATACAATCCAACATTTTTCAGTCAGGTCATCTGGACAGTTTATTTTTTTTTTGGTGCTGAAATGTTTCACCTTCCATCCAGAAGGCTTCATCAGTCAAGGAAACACACAACACAAAACTGATTCTTCCCCCAAACTGCTTAATTCAAAGTGGAACAAACCAGTTATGTTGGTGCTGAGATGGTGGACGTTTTTAGTTTTCAACCAGTTTGACATGACCATCGACGAGGAAGAGGGCCAGCTCCAGAAGAGGGGGCGTGCCAAAGACACCATCTTAGCACCAACATAACTGGTTTGTTCCACTTTGGAGTAAGCTGTTTGGGGGAAGAATCAGTTTTGTGTTGTGCGTTTCCTTGACTGATGAAGCTTCTGGATAGAAGGTGAAACGTTTCAGCACAAAAAAAAAGAAACTGTCCAGATGACCTGACTGAAAAATGTTGGATTAACTCTCACGGTTTTTGGTAAAAAAAAAACAAAAAAAAACATTGTGCAAATCACCGTGAAGAACTATTCCTGACTGACATATTTTGGTGTTTGATTTTGCATGTTGTTGTTCAAATCCGTGCAATGATACAGAGTAAAAGTTTTACCAGGACGGTAATAGAGGGCTTCACTGCCTATGCACTGGCACCATTAAATTTTATTTCACATCTCGTTTAGCTCTTCTGCTTCACCATTAAGTCTTTGATTTTCAGCACCTAAAGAAAATCAACAATGTGTTACAATCTTGTAACAATATTCACGCCCTCCACTAACCCAGCTCGGTGACCTGTCTGTCAAAGGGGCAGCGGATGGCTCGGCCATGGAGGGGCAGCCGGGTGAGGCAGTCGTGGCACACGGTGTGACCGCAGAGCAAAAGGCGGGGGACCTTGTCTCCTTGGAGAGAGAAGACGTCCTCACACACACCACACTCCAGCACCTGAAAGTGACAGCACAGACATGAGCCACTGATGAAGAGGACTCCTGCAGTGCAGGAGGGATGCAGGACTCACAGATCATGTGATCATGACACAAATAAGATGCTCTGCAAGGACAGAGAATAAGATGAGTGCATCTGATTAACCCCAAAAAAAACCTCGACTACTTTACCTGAGGGTCATTTTAGGTTAAAGACATGCATCAACCTTTCACAATGCATCGACTTTTAATTGCTGAGCTTTACTTCAAACAAGTGTAGGAATCCAAAACTACTGCAAACGCCAACTAGCCTTTTTAATACCAGCTACTAACTAGCATGCAGCAAGCTCATATTTTAACATCACAGATTTTATTACTTAGATAAATTTTCCTCTAAAATAAATGAAGTGGTTTTAGTGGGAGGACATGTTCACATAATTCGTATAAAAGCTAGATTTGGCGTAAAGTACTAGTAGCATCAACGCAAACGCAGCAGACTTAGCTTCCAAAAGGTGAGCTTGAACCTGCATTCGAGTTTCACCAAAACAAAACAAAGAATTCATTCCCAGCCACCACAGTTCAGCTATTACTTTCCGTGACATTACAACAACCTTCACGGTGCTTGCATTAGCTGCCCTCCCGTGCCGGAGAGACGACTCCATCGTCGCTACAGCGCCCTGCTTGTTTATTCCTGCTGCTGCAGCGGCCATTCTCAGACGGAGCAGAGAACAGCGCAGGCGCAAGAGGACAATCCCCCGGCCACTTCCGCAGTCGTCTGCAGAGATACATACTTGCTAGCGTCTCTCCCAAAGTCTGCGTTTACTTTGATCCGTGTCTCAAGTTTTAATGTTAAATGTTTTGATATATTTTCTGTTTTCAAATATAAATTTTGTAATAATAAATTCACTTCTTTAAGTTCATTTTCGCCACTCTGGAAAGGAAGTTATTGTCGCAAGATGCTGTTTTAAAATTATGACAAAATTGAATTATTATAGTCAATGTTCTGCAGTTAGAAAAATCTAACAAGGTTAAGTCAGGTCATCTGGATGGATTCTTCTTTGATGAAACGTTTCGTCTTTTATCCAAAATACTTTTTCAGTCTGAAACCCAGCAAGAAAACTCAGTCTTATAAATAGCTCCATGTCATAGTGGACCAACCAGTCTGCTGCTGAGAGAGGAAAGTGATTTGATGGTTTTCCAGAATATTTTAGGGTCATTTAGATCTTTGGAGGTCTCAGATGAAGTACCGTATTTTTCGCTGTATAAGCCGCAGGTTTTTTTTTTTTGCATAAATTAGCATGCCCTGCGACTTATACTCTGCTCACATATGATTGTGCAGCTTCCCATCCAGGCTGTCACATTGTAAAGTTTGCAGATGATACAGCAGTGGTGGGATGCATCACAAACAATGATGAGTCCAGCTACAGGCAGTAGGTGGAACACCTGGAGAGCTGGTGCAAAGAGAATAACCTTCACATCAACGTGAAGAAGACAAAGGAGATGATTGTGGACTTCAGAAGGAATAAACACACCTACTTCCCCCTGAACATAAGAGGATCTGTGGTGGAAGTGGTCTCCAGCTACAAGTACTTGGGTGTGCACGTGAATAACAACCTCAGCTGGAGCAACAACACCACCAGCCTGATCAAGAAAGCTCATCAGAGACTCTACTTCCTCAGAAGGCTGAAACGAGCTGGTCTGGGAAGCTCAGTCCTCACCTCCTTCTACAGGTGTGCAGTGGAGAGCATCCTGTGCTCCAGCATCAACGTGTGGCATGGAGGCTGCACAGCTGCAGAAAGAAAAGCTTTGCAGAGAGTGGTGAAGGCTGCACAGAAGTCTGGCGGAGTCGGTCTCCCCACCATCACAGACATCTACACCTCCAGATGCAGGAAGAGGGCCACCTGCATCATGAAGGACCCCACTCACCCAGCACACACACTTTTTGCCCCACTCCCCTCAGAAAGGAGGTTGAGGAGCATTAAGTGTGGAACCACTAGACTGAGGAACAGCTTCTACCCTGAAGCTGTTAGACTCATGAATTTCTAACCAGAATAATCACTGTGAAAAATCACATCATGTTGCTGCTGATCTGTTTCAATGTTGATGTGTTCATGCATGCTCATCCGCTCACACAGATACATGTTCATGTTTGTGCTGATGTTCGACGTAATGTTTTTATGCTATTAGTGCTTAGTGTATATTTAGTTGATATTTTTCTTAGTTCATATCTTAGATGTTATTACTGTTTTTCTTTTACATTTTATTGTTGGATGTAACTGGGACCCTGTGTACATAATTTCGCTCCACCACATGAGGTGCGAATGACAATAAAGAAACTCTGACTCTGACTTATACAGTGAAGTGACATATTTATGTTTTTTCCACTTCAGTAGACATATTTGGACCGAGGCAACGTTTACGGCGGCAAGTACGGTATTTGCGTTTTGCAGCTTTGACGGAAGCTGTATCCGCAGCTGTCGAAAATGCAACCAATCGGTGTCTGAGCCAGAATGTCTGGCTGTAGCCCAAAGCTGATCTCCCCTGTGTATGAGGTCAGTTAACTCAGGAGTAAACCAGAGGCTGTCACGTCCTTTTATTCTGAACTGGTGAAAAAGGGCACGTTTATTTATGTAGCAGTATAGAAATACACTGTACAATGCTATAAGTCACTTCCGGTTCAATGAGGTGAGTGGAGTATAAAAGGCGACAGCAATTCATTCTGGCACTTTGTTTCCTCTTTGTGCTCCCGCTATGTTGCTCACAACCAGTGTGGGGTTTGGTTGCGGTTGAGTGGCAGATCACAGGTGTGGTGCGGGCTGTTCTGGCCTTTGTTGTGAACACCAGCTTGCTGCTTTCCTCATGCTCCTTCCGTGTCTGTGTGTGTGTCTGCAGGTTTTTGTACAACCTCTGGCCAGCTGATTCTGGACCACTGCTGGTTTGTTTCACTGGATTTCTGTAACTAACTGTCTCCAGATGCCAGTGGCTATTTTTCTGGATTTCTGCAAAATTTTTTTCATTGACCCTTTATTTATTTATTTATTTATTTATTGTTTATTTGATAGGGACAGATACAATAAACACAGATCAAAACAATCTAATGCCTGCATCATATCCATCCATCCATCCATTATCTTTACCCGCTTCTTCCATTTTGGGTCACGGGGGTCGCTGGTGGCCATGTCCAGCAATCACTGTGCGAGGGGTGGGGTACACCCTGGATGGGTCTCCAGTCCATCACAGGGCCACATAGAGACAAACAACCATTCACTCTCTCACTCACACCTAGGGACAATTTAGAGTTACCAATCAGCCTAACATGCATGTTTTTGGTCTGTGGGAGGAAACAGGAGCACCTGGAGAAAACCCACGCATGCACGGAGAGAACATGCAAACTCCACCCAGAAAGGCCCCTGGACCGGGGTTTGAACCAGGGACCTGCTCACTAAGAAGCAGCAGCTCTACCAGTTGCGCCATCGTGCTGCCCTGCCTGCATCATAGCCAAAGCTAATTCGCAACACCCGTCCCTAGATGGGCCTTTAACAGTTGGTTAAATGAAAAGTTAAGATCAATAGTAAAAACCAAATTAAAATTATATATATTTATATATAAAAAAACAATGTATTTAAAACTACTGAGTTAGAACAATTACAATATTTAAAAATGAGTACAAATCTGGTTCATCTTTAGCCAATTCTTAAGCCTTGAAGTGAATATTTTAGTGTCAGTTATGGTCTTAAGATCAGCTGGTAATGAGTTCCACAGCTTACAGCTCCTGACAGAGAAGGCTGTCTGTCCAAACTTGTCCTGTAAAATGGTACTTCAGTCATGATTTGTGGAACTTCTAGTGACTCTGTTGCTGTTCTGTCTCTCAGCAAATGTAAGTAATGGCTCAGGTGCTACACGATTGTTGCATTTATGAAACAGTTTAAGAAAACAAAAACTAATAAAGCTATCAAAGCTCATTAGATTATATTTTTTAAATAATGTTACAGTGGTGATAGCAGATTGGCTTTAAATCCATAATTTTTACGGCCCGATTGTATAAAGAGCCAATGTGTTTGATTGCAGTTGGAGAGGCCTGAGCCCATGCAGTCATGCAATATGATATGTGACAAACAATCATAGAACGCATATATAGCAGAGCCGCCTGACTTGGTATATAGTTTCTACTTAGTTTGAAACAATTAATATTACTTCGTATTGTTTTTGAAATTGTCTTAAATGTTCATTAAAAATTCAAGTTGAGGATCTAGCACAAAGCCAAGGTATTTAAATTCAGCAACAGACTGATTTTTTTTATTTTGTAAACGAACATTAATTTTTTTCTTTTAAACCAAGTTTTCTTATTGAGAAACACATGGAGACTGTTTTTGAAATGTTCAGAACTTTGCTGATTTTGCATGAGCCACTGTTAGATGTCAGACATACAGTTGGATAATACCTCTGCAGCTTGTTCTGGTGACTTAGCAGGTGCATAAAGAACTGCATCATCTGCATAAAGTTGACAGTTGACATCTGAGCAGTGCCTAGGCAAGTCGTTTATGAAGAGACTAAACAGCAAAGGGCCAAGTATCGAGCCTTGTGGGATGCCCTTTTGTAAGTTCAAAAATCCAGATATGTTTTGATCTAATTTAACACAGTGAGCTCTGGGCTGAAGATAATTCAATTCAATTCAAAAATACTTTATTAATCCCAGAGGGAAATTAAATGTTGTTGTAGCTCATTTTCCTTGTTTCATAAAAGAGTTGTTCTAGATGTTGATGGTTGTGGGCGGGAAGGATCTCTTGTGATGGTCCGTCTTATAGCAGATCTGAAAAAACTGGCCACAGATGTTGATCCGTTTACTTGCACTTGGTTGGCCTCCTGGGCTTCAGGATCACCTGAATGTTGGGCAGAAATCCTCCCAGGGCAATGGCCACTCCTCCCAGCAGCTTGTTGAGCTCCTCATCGCTGCGGACAGCCAACTGTAGGTGCTGATGGACGATCCTGTCCTTCCGCTGTCATAAGTCGTGTTTCCTGCTAGTTCCAGGATCTCAGTGGTCAGGCACTCGAGCACAGCTGGCAGGTAGATGAAAATGCGTCCACAGAACATCCTTTTCAACTCATTTGAAATTTAGGGCTGTAGTTGAGATATTACTTGAGCTTTTGAGATGTTAATCAGCTGGTGATGGTTGTAGAAACTGCCTTGTTGCCATGGTTACGCATCATAACAAATGTCCAAAACTAAAAAAGTTTCCGTAAAAATCCTTCCAGCTGCACAGCATCTGATACCAGAGGAAACAATCATCCAAAAAATGTGATTTACATCCAGAAAAAGAGGAATTAAAGTTTCCAAAAGCAAAATCTCAGAATGAAAGTAACAGAGCTGCTCCAACATGCAGCCACCTTGAGCGGCGCAGTTCTAGAAGATGTAAACCAGCTTATTGCATCCACTGAAAAAATTAATTCTGACATTTTAGATAAAAGCAAACCTTGGTTAACCATATCAAATGCCTTTTTAAGGTAGATAAATACAGCACCCATCACATTACCCTTATCCAGGGACTTTTTTACATTTTCAATTAAACAGCAGTTTGCCATTTCAGTAGAATAACCTGGTCTGAACCCAAACTGCTGTGGGTGGAGGAGTTGCCTAGATTCTAAAAACTCAAATCAGTTGTTCTACAACTACTTTTTCAATTACTTTAGATAAAACTGGTAAAATTGATATACAGGTATTAATATAGGTCCTTGGTTCAAATCCCAGTCCGGGAGGCCTTTCTGGGTGGAGTTTGCATGTTCTCTCCATGCATGCGTGGGTTTCCTCTGCATACTCCGGTTTCCTCCCACAGACCAAAAACATGCATGTTAGGCTGATTAGTAACTCTAAATTGTCCCTAGGTGTGAAAGAGAGAGCGAATGGTTGGGGTTAGGAGTGTTGCTCAGGGCCCCAGAGTGGGGCAAATGAGGGTGGAGGCTGGTGTGGGTGTTTCACCTTTTCCACCCACATTTTGATGTTGATGGTACCGGGAGTTGAACCTGCGACATTCCAATCACAGGCCCATCTTCTCTAACCTCTGCGCCACCGCTCTCCTGAACATGCTGATGTTTGGTGCACAGTCTCTGAGCTCCTGGCTCGTGTCTTACTGTGGCCTGGTTAATTAGCCACACCTGGTTTTGGATATTAACTTTTCAATTGACTATCTGATTTAAGTTCCATTGTTTAAGTAGTTGGGCAGCACGGTGGCGCAACTGGTAGAGCTGCTGCCTCTCAGCGAGCAGGTCCTTGGTTCAAACCCCGGTCCGGGGGCCTTTTTGGTTGGAGTTTGCATGTTCTCTCCGTGCATGCATGGGTTTTCTCCGGGTGCTCCGGTTTCCTCCCACAGAACAAAAACATGCATGTTAGGCTGATTGGTAACTCTAAATTGTCCCTGGGTGTGAGTGGGAGAGTGAATGGTTGTTTGTCTCTATGTGTCCCTGTGATGGACTTGCGACCCGTCCAGGGTGTACCCCGCCCCTCGCACAGTGATTGCTGGACATGGGCACCAGCGACCCCCGTGACCCAAAATGGAATAAGTGGGTAAAGATAATGGATGGATGGATGTTTAAGTAGTTTCCTTATTTTGTCAGTTTACTGCCCATTTAATTTTCTGTAAATTATCTTTGTATATAATTTAGACATTTGTTCAGGCTGACATTTATTTATTTTTGGGTAGTTATTTGGTGTATTTTCTTGAATTATGATATATGTAATCTGCTTATTTTTGTTTTCTTTTTGATTATATTTAGTTCAGGGTTTGTGACCTTTACTAATTTTGTTATTTATTTTCCAGTTGCTGAGGTCCGGTGGTGTGCTAGTTTGGGCATATGTTAATGTAGGGAAATGAATTAACAGCCACTCTAGCAAAAAACGTAATCAAGAGAAAGTCCATAGAACAACAAGTCCTATTGAGCAAATCTGAAATTGAACCATTCATCAGGAAATATATGCAAACATTATGGCAGGCGCATTGGGATTTACATGAAACCAGAAGACATTTATATACCATACAAAAACATGTTGGGTTAGGAAGGACAACAAGATGGAATAGAAAAGAAGAAAATGTAATCACTTTACTCAGAACATATATTCAGGTCTCAACCACACTTTGGATAAAATGGGCATCCAATAGGAAAATGCACATATTGTAAAATTTACAATACGTGCATTTACAATGTAAACAGTCAGAAACTGTGGAACATGTCTTCACATTATCTCGGCTCTTGGAAGATAAATCAGCCAGTACATACAGTAAAGTTGTTTTGTTATACCGAGTGGAGCTCATTAATACTACGCCATTTACAAAACACACCGGTTCAGAGATCTTACAAAAATACTTAGAACATCTGAGACAGGCTTGCAAATTTAGAAAACAATTTATTAATTTCCATTTTTATTTATAAAAACTTTTTTTTAAATACTTTTTAAACACTTTTTTCTTAAAATTCTACAGAAAACAAGAAAGGAACTAAACAAATCCCAGGAGCTGCCTGTTGTCCAGATTCCCACTCCAGTCCAGTAGGTGGCGGTAATGCACTTGAAATGGGGTTACCATCCATCAATTAAAACAGAAGAAGAAGACGGTGCTAAAAGTGCTGCTTTCACGGTAACATAACTTCTTTGTTTAAATTGTGTGATATTAACCTAGAGTTTGTGTGGTCTTTTACTTGGAAAATAACGCTCAAACGACGGGGTGCATCCTCAGATCAGACGGATTTATTTTATTTATCGTTTGTTTTAGTGATGTCTCAACAAACACAGCCCTCCGCTCCTGATTCCCCTGCCCTGCTGGTCACAGCGAACGTGCAGAAATACGCCATGAAGAAGAAGAAGGTCCTCAGTGCTGAAGAAAGCGAGCTGTTCGAGCTGACTCAGGCTACAGGCGTCACTGTGGACCAGGAGGTCTTTAAGTGAGCAGGAAGAAGCATCACCCTGAATGTGGTGCGTGATCTGAAGAGATGAACTGAGTTGTTTCTCTCCTGCAGGATCATAGTGGACCTGCTGAAAATGAATGTGGCCCCTCAAGCAGTCTTCCAGACCCTGAAGGCGATGTGTGCAGGTCAGAGAGTAGCTGAAAGCTGCGGGGAGTCTTCAGCTGCTCTCCATGCAACAAGCATGACCACAGCATCTGCAGAGGTCAAAGGTTAGTGTGTGAGTTCAAACTGTCCACCAGTCTTCAGAGCAACATTACAGACATATCCTGATGCATGCTCAATAATCCAGGTAGAAAAATCCAAAAAAGTTCAATCTGGTCCTCTGGACATTCAAAAAAATATATACATTACAGACAGTTTTTAATTTAAATTTTAATTTAAAAACACTACTGTCTTTGAGGAGGGTTCAAGTTAAGATCGTAACAAAGAAAACTGTGTGAATGAACGCGTTTGCAGCTTTAAAAAATAAAACAAAGTCGGAGCATTTTTCACTTTTTTTTTGTATTTGGAAAATAGACTTGATTTTCACTTTTGGTTCATTTAACCACATCAAGCGTTGAGTTTAAGGTTTTATCTATTAGTGTTTGTTGGTTTGTTTGCTTGTTTTAATTTTTCATTACGAACCTTTAGACCACAGATCAACACAGGGCCTGAGGACCAGAAGTAGTCCTTGAGTGAGAAGACAATTCAACAAGTTGATGAAAACCAGCATTTTTTTAATTGAAAGAACTAAGTGACTGAAACAAAAAGTCTAAAATAAGCTCTTAGACATATAGTTTATTTTTCTTTCTTTCGGCTGCTCCCTTCTTCAGGGGTCGCCACAGCGAACTAACTCACACGAAGACTTGGTGATTGTTTTTATGCTGGATGCTCTTCCTGACACAACCACAGACCACTGAGCTACCACAGCCCTTTGTGTGCAGCTGAGAGCTGCTATGTTGGGCACCCAGGGGAGCAGATGGTGGGGGTTAGGGGCCTTGCTCAAGGGCCCAGAGTTGGGCAAATGAAGGGGGAGACGAGTGTTTCACATTTCCCAACCATGATCACAGGCCCACCTTCTCTAACCTCTGCACCAACTCTCCCTTATCTTGGACATATAGTACACATCTAAAACCTTTTAGGCTAATTGAAGCTAAAATGTTTTCTGTTCTTGGTTGGTCATTGCTTGTGCTCCTAAAACTAGACTAAGCGGTTTCCGTTTGTCCGAGAGGACATGTTGTCGTTTCAGACAACCTGATCTCTCCTCGACGTTGTCCGGTGGACAACCAAGTGAAATAGATATTAAAGACAGAAGTGATCTGTGTTCCCAGCTTAGTGACAGACTGCAGGTGAGAGCACCAATCAGTGTTTCCTCGATTATTTTCCAAGGAGGACACCTCGCTACCTTAACCAAAGGTGATGACATGTAATAAATTATTAATAGTAATTAATAACCAAAGTTGAACCAAAGTGGTTCAAAACATCAACGTTACTTTGATCTAAACTTTGATGTTTTGAACCACTTTGGCTATGGCTGCCTCAGAGGAGTTGACGGGGGAGAGGGCAGACTCCAGATCTTATCACCATAAAACTGGTTGGCCCATTATGTTAGTAAGCCACTTATAGGACTGAGTCTGTTGTGACTCATCAGACTGATGAAGTCCTTTGGATGAAGGACGAAACGTTTCAACAAAAAAAGAAACCATCCACAGGACCTGACTTAACTTTGTTGGATGTGTGTTATCTTGCTCTACAAATTTGACAGCTGCTGCTGATTATGACTTCATAACTAGTTTCATGCCTGTGATGCAGGTGACACATTTAACCAGTGATCAGCGTTTAAACAGTCTGCGTTCACCAACAGTTTTGCCATACAGAATATGTATGTTTATGTTGGGGAATGACTGCAGCCTCTTACTCAAGAAGTTATTGAGAAGGCTGCAATAACAGTAAAAGAGCAGTGCATAGATACATTAAGTAAAATTATGGAGCATGGTTAGTGCAGAAAATACACATTCCATTGACACCACCTACTAGATCACTCCACTTCATCGTAATGAAGGGACTTCCAATGTGGAAATGAACTGAATACCAAGCATAGCTAACCAATGCAGGAGATGATCTTCACTCGGTGCATGTCACAGCTCTAACTTCTTTTCTATCCCCTTGAATTATTTCCCCCCCACGCCTCATTTCCTGAAGAAGAGGAGTCTTTGGTCTCTGGAAAAAGCACTACGGCTGCTGCAGTGCTCCACTCCGCATCAGGCCCCAGAGTCACAAGGGTCAACACTAAGATTGTGGTCTATGGCTCCCAAGACGCTAGTCCTCTTCATTCTCAAGGTCCCTTCTGCAGCACTGCCTCCTACCCCTCCGTCTGTCACCTCCACCTCTGCACCCTGTATTTCCATAGCAAAATTAGTATTTTTTTGTATCTACAATATGAACCAAATGCCTTCATTTCATCCGCATGTTGCATCTAAACTGTTTGCATTCAGGTGTGTCTTTCAAAAATCTATGTAAAATTTGAAATCATTGTCTTTATCATGATGCAAAAGACAAAGCATGTGAAATGTGTGCATGTGGAGCAAGACAAGAACTTGCCCTTAGGATTTCTCATTTTCAAGCATATTGCATTACCTTTATTAACCAGGATTAAAATAGAACAAAGAGATTAAGATATTTTTTGCAAGGGTGTCCTGATCAATAGGGCAGTAGCATGTGATGAAACAGTGTTTTAAAATGAGTAACAATATACTGTAGAATAAAACGTGTTTAGACACAATTAGATAAAGTTCCTTGAAAAAGCTTTGGTACCTCTTGAACGTTTCCAAATCTTGTCCCATTGCAACCACAAACCTCACACTTATTTACTTTATTTACATAATTATGAAATGGAAGGAAAATGGTTTTCATATGTTAAACATTTTAAGTTCAAATTAATTCATTTTATTTATATAGCACCAAGTCAAAACAAAAGTTGTCTCAGGACACTGAACAGAAACCTTCACATACATTAAAAAAGCCATTAGTAAAAGTTCTCTATCTAAAGAAGCAGCAGATTGTGTTGAATCTTCACTTCGTCGCAGTCTCATCCTGAGCAAACACATTAAGTGTGGCTAGGCCTGTCGCGATAAGCAATAAATCAATTAATTACATGATAAATGAAAACGATCAACCTCATTTTCATTTATCGGCTTTATCGTTTCTTCGTGTCTCTCTTTATACTGAAGACACCGGATGACAAAAGGCTCAACTCCGGTGCTCTTCACTGACCCCTCCCTTTCTCTTTTCTCTTTAAAATCAATTTTAACCGTCCAAAATTGTGTTTTTGGATCATTAAAAGCAGCTAAGCTGAGAAGCTAAGCTGACAGGCTGACCTGGGGAGAAAACCTCCATCTTGTTGAAGCTCCAACATTCACAGTCCGCCATTTTGAGAACCAAAGAGAGACAGCCCATGTCACATCAAGGGGCCTCCCTCCCATAAGAGATGCACTGCTCGCTCTCTCACTGTCCATCCTTCGATTCAAACTAGAGCTGTCATTTCTAACCAAAACCCGGCTCGGACCGACCCGGATTAGGGCCGGCTAGGCCATTATAATGTGATTAATGGCCGGGGTGATCTCGGGCTTTTACCGGTAATAAGGTCAGGATTAGCCGCGATCCAAGTATTTGATTATATGGCCTGCCGTACATCCACCAGCCGCACGCAGCCATTTCACTGTGAGCTGACCGGCCTTGAAAGAGGTACATAGTTCATTTAAGCTTCAGATGTGACTGTACTGCCAGGCAGCAATCCATCGCCCAAATGGACGTTCATTCTGCCGCTGCTGCCCTCAGTGGACACACGCGACCGACGACTCAAACAGTTGAGATCCCAAAGCAGACGCGTGAGTCAGAGAGCTGTCTGCATGTCTCAGTAATTCAGTAGCATGCAGGCAGAAACAGGGTTTAAATGTTTTTTATAGCCATGAAATTACAAACACCTTTCAGCTCCTAATCTTCTGCCGCCTTCATTCAGCTGCGCGTCCCCAACCGTTAATAACTAATTTTTTTTTTTTTTTCCGGGTTCGGACCTGTAATTACTGTTAATTCGTCTGATCTGATTTTTTTTTGGCCCCTCCCTGGGCTGCCACCTTACCGTGGTGGAGGGGTTTGAGTGTCCCAATGATCATAGGAGCTATGCTGTCAGGGGCTTCATGTCCCTAGTAGGGTCACCCAAGGCAGACAGGTCCTAGGTGAAGGACCAGACAAAGTGCAGCCCAAAGACCCCTTATGATGAGTATAATCTATGGAAACAATATTCCCTTGCCCGGACGTGGGTCACCGGGCCCCACTCTGGAGCTGGGCCTGGAGGTGGGCACGCTGGCGAGTGCCTGGTAGCCGGGCTTTTACCCATGGAGCCCGGACGTGGAATGTCACCTGTATGGTGGGGAAGGAGCCTGAGCTGGTGTGTGAGGTTGAGAGATTCTGGCTAGAAGGAGTCGGACTCAACTCAATGCATGGCTCTGGCTCTGGAACCAGTTTTCTTGAGAGGGGTTGGACACTCTTCCACTCTGGAGTTGCCCCTGGCGAGAGGCACCGAGCAGGAGTGGGCATACTTGTTGCCCCCCATCTTGGTGCCTGTATGTTTGGGTTCACCCCAGTGAATGAGAGGATAGTCTCCCTCTGCCTACGTGTGAGGGGGGATGGGTTCTGACTGTTGTTTGTGCTTATGTGTCAAACAGCAGCTCAGATTATCCACCCTTTTTGGAGTCCTTGGAGTGGGTACTGGAGAGTGTGCCTCCTGGGGACTCCCTTGCTCTACCGGGGGACTTCAACGCTCACGTGGGCAATGACAGTGAGACCTGGAGGGGTGTGGTTGGGAGGAATGGCCCTCCTGATCTGAACCCGAGTGGTGTTCTGTTATTGGACTTATGTGCTCATCATGGATTGTCTATCATGAACACCATGTTCAAGCATAAGGGTGTCCATATGTGCTCTTGGCACCAGGGCACCCTAGGCCACAGTTCGATGATCGACTTTATTGTCATCTCATCTGATCTGCGGCCGCATGTCTTGGACATCGGGTAAAGAGGGGAGCGGAGCTGTCCAATGATCACTACCTGGTGGGGAGTTGGCTTTGATGGTGGGGGAGGATGCTGGTCAGACCTGGCAAGCCCAAACATATTGTGAGGGTCTGTTGGGAACGTCTGGCAGAGTCTCCTGTGAGATGGAGCTTTAACTCCCACCTTCGGGAGATTTTAGAACACATTCCGGGGGAAGCGGGGGACATTGAGTCCGAGTGGGCCAGGTTCCGCGCCTCTGTTGTTGACGCGGCTTATCGAAGCTGTGGCCGCAAGATTTTCGGTGCCTGTCGCAGTAGTAACCCTCGAATCTGATGGTGGACACCGTCGGTGAGGGATGCTGTCAGGCTGAAGAAGGAGTCCTATCGGGCCTTTTTGGCCTGTGGGGCCCCGGAAGCAGCTGATTGGTACTGGCAGTCCAAGCGGCATGCGGCTCGGGTGGTCGCTGAGGCAAAAACTCAGGCATGGGAGGAGTTTGGAGAGGCCATGAAGAATGACTTCCGTACGGCTTCGAGGCGATTCTGGTCCATCATCCGGCTTCTCAGGGGGGAAAGCGGTACTCCACCAACATTATTTATAGTGGAGGTAGTGTGCTGCTGACCTCAACTCGGGATGTCGTGGGTTGGTGGGTGGAATACTTTGAGGACCTCCTCAATCCCACTGGCACGTCTTCCAGTGAGGTAGCAGAGCCTGGGGACCTTGGGTTGGGCTCTCCAATCTCTAGTGATGAGGTCATCAATGTGGTTAAAAAGCTCCTCAGTGGCAGGGCCCCAGGGGTGGATGAGATTTGACGGAGTTCCTTAAGGCTCTGGATGTTGTGGGGTTGTGTTGGCTTACACGACTCTGCAATATGTGGGGGAGTGGTGGCGCAGAGGTTAGAGAGGTGGGCTTGTGATCCGAAGATCGCCGGTTCACGCCCCGGCCCCGACAACATCAAAATTGTGGGTGGGGTAGGTGAAACACCCACACCTGCCCCCACTCTGGGCCCATGAGCAAGGCCCTTAACCCCCACCATGTGCTCCCTAAACAGGTCTCTCTTGAAAATGAGTTCTCGTGGCTCAATGAGACTAACCTGGATAAATAAAGGATAAATGAAAAAATATTGCGTGGACGTCGGGAGCAGTTCCCCTGGATTGGCAGACTGGGGTGGTGGTCCCCCTATTCAAAAAGGGGGACCGTAGAGTGTGTTCCAACTACAGGGGGATCACGCTCTTAAGCCTCCCTGGTAAGGTTTATTCGGGGGTTCTGGAGAGGAGGGTCCATCGGATAGTTGAACTTTGTATTCAGGAGGAGCAGTGTGGTTTTCGTCCTGGTCGTGGAACACTGGACCAGCTGTACACCCTCAGCATGGTCCTGGAAGGTGCGTGGGAGTTTGCCCAACCAGTCTACATGTGCTTTGTGGACTTGGAGAAAGCATTCAACCACGTCCCTCGGGGAACCCTGTGGGAGGTACTCTGGGAATTTGGGGTACCAGGCCCTTTGATACTGGCTGTTCGGTCCCTGTATGACCAGTGTCAGGGCTTGGTCCGCATTGCCTGTAGTAAGTCGGGCTCGTTCCCAGTGAGAGTTAGACTCCTCCAAGGTTGCCCTTTTTCACCGATTCTGTTCATAACTTTTATGGACAGAATTTCTAGGTGCAGCCAAGGTGTTGAGGGGATCTGTTTTGGTGGCCTTAGGATCGCTTCTCTGTTGTTTGCAGATGATGTGGTCCTATTGGCTTCATCAGGTCATGATCTACAGCTTTCGCTGGAGCGGTTTGCAGCCGAGTGTGACACGGCCGGGATTAGGATCAGTTCCTCCAAATCCGAGGCTATGGTCTTGAGCCGGAAAAGGGTAGAGTGCCTTCTTCGGGTCGGGGAGGAGGTCCTGCCCCAAGTGAAGGAGTTTAAGTATCTCGGATTCTTGTTCACGAATTAGGGAAAAATGGAGCGTGAGATCAATAGGCGGATAGGTGCAGCGTCTGCAGTGAATCGAGCGCTGTACCGCTCTGTCGTGGTGAAGAGAGAGCTGAGTCAAAAGGCGAAGCTCTCAATTTACCGGTCGATCTACATTCCTACCCACATCTATGGTCATGAGCTTTGGATTGTGACCAAAAGAACGAGATCTTGGATACAAGCGGCCAAAATGAATTTTCTCTGCAGATTGTCTGGGCTCTCCCTTAGAGATAGTGTGAGAAGCTCAGTCATCCAGGAGGGACTCAGAGTAGAGCCGCTGCTTCTTCACATCGAGTGTAGCCAGTTGAGGTGACTCGGGCATCTGGTTAGGATGCCTCCTGGACGCCTCCCTGGTCAGGTGTTCCGGGCACGTCCCACTGGGAGGAGACCCAGAGGAAGATCCAGGACAAGCTTTAGGGACTATGTTTCTTGGCTGGCCTGAGAACGCCTTGGGATTCCCCTGGAGGAGCTGGCCCAAGTGGCTGGGGAGAGGGAAGTCTGGGCCTCCCTACTTAGGCTGCTACCCCCGCGACCCGACCCCGGATAAGCCGAAGAGAATGGATGGATGGGTGGACGGCTTTTTTGGGCCCGAATTCAACTCTGTCTCATACTGCCATCTGGTGGTGAAAAAATTGTACTACATGCCAACCAAATTAAACATTTTGTCTTACTTCAGGGGGGCTGAACACAAATGCATGCCACATTTTTCATGTTTTGTTTTGGATTTTTTTATGTATATAATCCTAATATTTTACAATTAGCACTAATTAGTCTATCACATAAAACCCTAGTAAAATACTTTTTAGTTTTTTTTTTGTTTTGTTTGTTTTAACTAGGCAAAAGGTAGAAAATGTAAAAATGAATAGACATGTTTTACAGTATTTAACTTTGAAGAAGCTGGAATATATATATGTAAAACTTGCTATTTAAAATTTTAATTCTTAACGTTTCTTATAAAATTCATTTTAAAAGCTTGAAGTCCGTTGTTGCTGAATGAAAAGGGGATTCTCAAATCTGTCTATCCATTCATTTTGTAAGCATGGTATCTTGGAAAAATAAGTGAGGCACTGATGTCCATTTTGTGTGTGGCTGCATCTACATGTTAAAAGTTCACCATCAAAGGGTGCCACATCAAAGCCACCATATGTAAATTGGTCACCCCTATCGTTAAAAAAAAAACAAAAAAAATTGCTTTCTAGTTTTTATATTGCTTTAAAGTAGTTTCCTCAGTTGGAGAGAGAGAGATTAATCTATGGTGGTCAAGTTAAAAAATGTTTCAAAGAAACTATAAACAGAAAACAGTTGTGTGAATGATGATGCAGCAGTTACACTAATAAATTCCACATTGTTGGCAGAAATACTTAAAAAAAAGTTTTTTTATTGCTTTTTTTGACACAAAGAAAAAAGAACAAAACAAAATAAACCCCAACAATATCCCCTCTCACACCGGACCAGTCACACATACACAAATAATCTACATAGGCATTGTCAAGTTCTCAACAAATGACACAAAGGGCTGCCAGGTGTCCCATAATCTTCCTGCAGAACCCTTTAGGGTGCATCTCATTTTTGTCTAGATGGATATGGTACATGATCTCTCATATGCTGGGGGGGGGGGGGTGTGTGAGTCCTTCCAATTGCACAAAATTAGCCTCCTGGCCAAAAGAGAACCAAAGGCATTCACATCCTTTTCATACTTGCTGAAGGACATGTCCACAGGAACCACCCCGAACAGTGAAATGAGTGGTGATGGGTGAACAGTTTTGCCACATATTCCAGAGAAAGTGTCAAAAATAGACTGCCCAAAAGTCTACAGTTTGGGACAGGTCCAGAATGGATGCAGGAGTCTACCTGGAGTTTGTTTACAATGATTACATGCAGGGTCCAGGTGTGCTTTGATCTTGGGCAGCTTGTCTTTGGACCAGTGCAGCCTGTGCATCACCTTGAATTGAATTACAGCGTGTCTCAGACTGATTGAAGATGAGTAAATGTTCTGAATTATCCTTCTCCAGATGGAGTCTGATATGGGTTCCTCCAAGTCTGCTTGCCATTTCAGTTTAAGGGAGTCCAAACTGGTCTCATGGTATGAACTGAGCAGTGTATACATCTTGCTAAAGGCACCCTTTGTATCAAACCTGCATTCCAAAATCTTAGCCACAAAATGTTTAGAGGGGTACAAAGGAAAACAGTCTGAGTTAGATCTCACAAAATGTCTCAGCTGCAGATATCCAAAAAAAACTGTAACTTGTGAATATGAAACTTCTGCACCAGCTGTTCAAAAGAAGCAAATCTACCATCAACATAGAGATCACACTGTGAATGCACTCCCCTCAAGAAATACTTTTTTAACCCAGTGTACTTTTGTAGAAGTAAAAAAGTTTGCTGTATATTTTCTTCTTGTGGTAACCTTAACATAATGGTAGGATGTTTTTAATTCACTTTTTCCCCTTGAGATGATATATAAATGCTTTGCAAATTGCATAAATATTTTTACTAAAATCATTTTATGACATTAATAAGTGTCAGTCAGGTGTGGTGTTTGTGGTGTTCTCTTTTTATTTGAAGATGTGTCTCAGCTTCACTGTGCGTCACCCCCTGCTTTTCTCATTGCCATTTTCTGTGCGTTAAGCGCCAAGTTGCTTGGAACCTGTGAAGTCTGACGATCATTAATTGGTTTGTTCTTTTTGTTTGTGTTTTTGTTTGTCTTTCTAGTAGCGCGCAGTAAAGCTGGAGCGGGTCAAAGCGAGAAGAGTAGAGACGCTCCCAGCCAGAAGGTGCAGAGGCAGCCCAGCGCCACTAGAGGACAGAAGACTAAGAGCTCCGGCAGCAGCAGCTCGTCTTCACAAATTAACTCCACATAAGACTCAGGCTGGTCTGAGACCAGCTGTAAAAATATGTAGGTTTGGTTACATTTTAATAAATGTGTATATTTAATTGTGTTGCAGGTTTAAAGGACTGACTTATTTTATTACTATATGTAAATTTATTTGCTCTGCAAAAGAAAAAATAAAAGGATGATTTTATTACATGTTTTCCTCCCACGTTCTTACCATCAGCCCTGGGTTTTTTTTTTTCCGCGTCATTCACACAGAATCTTCAGCTAACCTTGTTACCCACATAAATTTATGACTTACTTATGGTAAAACTTAGTTTTAAATGATAAACAGTGGGGAATGTTAGGTAAGTTAAAAATGTTATTATTTAAAACAGTTTCTGTATTTGCTAAAACTCCAGCCGTGTGAACTGACGCCCTGCTGAAACACCAAACACCCAGAGTTTTGTTTGCAGCTCATGTGTGTACGAAGACCAGACCGTGGGTTTTTAAACAACCGATGGCTGTTGTTTAGTTCTGACCTTGCTATCCTGCCTCCGTATCAATCTGTCTCCTGTTGCATCTCGTTTAATCATATTTTGTGTCTCTGCTGCGTCAGAGAAGCTGAATCTGCCTTGTTTCCCACACCCACTCTACCTAATAAAATGCGAGCGTCACAGGCGGGAGATCGGACTTCTTCTTCTCTTGACGTTTGGTCGAGCAGAACTCCCACCTCTGCAGACGACTTTTTAAAAAAAACACGCTTGTCTTGTGTGAATTATTTTACAAAGGTGTTATGAGGAAAAAACCCTTTCAGTCTTGATCCTAAAAAATCTGCAGGTCCAGTGAACTTCCACCTTATTTCTTAAGGCTGGCTGCTCAAATCATCACAGTCCCTGTTACCCACATCTTTAATCTTTCCATAAACCAAAACTCCATTCCAGATGCTTGGAAAACAGCCTTTGTTCTTCCTTTGCTGAAGGAAGGTGACCCCACCTCACTGAACAACTATCGACCAATCTCTAAACTCTGCATTTTAGCCAAGGTTCAAGAAAAACTGACAAACTCTCAAATCAAAAATTACCTGGACTCATTTAACATCTTACCTCCACATCAGTCTGGTTTCAGGAAACAAGACAGCACAACGACTGCTTTACTGAAGGTTCTTAATGACGTTGTTGAAGCACTAGACGCTAAGGATTATTGTGCTGCACTTTTCTTAGACCTGTCTAAAGCTTTTGACACTGTGGATCATAACATCTTGTGTCATAAGCTCTCAGAAATCGGTTTCTCAGAACACACCATTGGTTGGTTCTCTATCTCTCAGACCGGAGGCAATGTGTTAAACATAATGGTACTTCCTCCAGTTATTTAACGGTCAACAATGGTGTACCACAAGGCTCAGTCTTAGGAACCACCTTCTTTACAATCTACTGTAGGTCAAAACATCCCTGATGCATCCATACATTTCTATGCTGATGACAGTTGTTTATTGTCGAGCTAAAACAGTTGATAAGGCTTTCCAGCTTTTGAAATCTGCATTCAAGATCATCCAGTCTGATTTGTTACGCCTCAAATTTGTCCTAAATGCCGACAAAACCAAAGGGATGCTTTTTTCAAACTGGAAGTCAGTCCCAGCAGTTCTTCCTCTGATTTCATCCTCAAATGGTGTCCCCATTGAGTTTGTTGATTCCTATAAATATTTGGGTATCTTGGTCGACTCGCATCTCTCTTTTAAGCTCCATGTGGAAAACTTGGTAAAAAAACTGAAAGTTAAACTGGGTTTCTTTTTCAGAAACAAATCCTGTCTAACTCTGAATGCTAGGAAACGCCTTGTATCTGTGACCTTCCATCCCTCCATTGATTACGGTGACATTTTTTACATGGACGCTCCTACAAGAACCCTGCAGATTTTGGATGATGTCTTTCATGATGCACTAAGATTCATAACTGGCTGTGATTATCATATCCATTACTGCACCCTGTATTCACTGGTTAACTGGACATCATTAACTTCACACAGACTCTCCCACTGGTACATTTTCATCTTTAAATCACTTCTTGGTCTGCTGCCTTCATACATCTCCTACATGGCTCTGCATGAGTGCAGCTACAATGTGCGCTCTCAGGACATTATTACCTGCAGTGTTCCCTCAGTGTGGACTGAACTAGGCAAAAGGACCTTCTCCTACTCCGCTCCTGTTTCCTGGAATATCTTACAAAAAGATTTGAAGCTCTCGATCTTGACCTCTCTAAGTGGCTTTAAGAATCTGTTGGACTCCTAGCAGGGACCAATGCAGACATGTTCCTGTTTTTAGTTTTCTACATTCACCTTATAATCTAGCTGTTTTTTTTTTTTGACATCTTATTTGTTAAAAAAATAAAATAAAATTTGTGTGACTTTTTATAACTCTATTGTTGTCGCTTTTGTCCATTGTTGTCGTCATTCTTTGTTGAAATCAGGCCTCTCTTGTAAATGAGTCCTCGAGGCTCAATGGGATTTACCTGTCTAAATAAAGACTGAATGAATGAAAAATAAGTTCCTAAGTTTAACTACAGCCCAAATACTCTTTTTAGATTGAAGTGAGGCTGGGTGTCCAACTCACTTACAAAAAGGGGCCAAAATAAACTGGGTCTTCCTCTGGGCCTCCTTCCGGTGGGATGTGTCCGGAACACCTCACCAGGGAGGCGTCCAGAAGGCATCCTAAACAGATGCCCAAGCCACCTCAACTGGCTCCTCTTGACATGGAGAAACAGCAGCTCTACTCTGAGTCTCTCCCGGATGATCGAGCTTCTCACCCTATCTCTAAGGGAGAGCCCAGACACCCTGCGGAGAAAACTAATTTCGGCTGCTTGTATCCAAAATCTCGTTCTTTCGGTCACAACCCAAAGCTCGTGACCATAGATGAGGGTAGGAACGTAGATCGATCGGTAAATTGAGAGCTTCGCCTTTTGACTCAGCTCTCTCTTCACCACGACAGACCTGTACAGCACCTGCTTCACTGCTGACGCTGCACCTATCCGCCTATCGATCTCACGCTCCATTTTTCCCTAATTCGTGAACAAGACCCCAAGATACTTAAACTCCTCCACTTGGGGTAGGACCTCCTTCCTGACCCGGAGAGGGCACTCTACCCTTTTCCGGCTCAAGACCATGGCCTCGGATTTGGAGGAACTGATCCTCATCCTGGCCGCGTCGCATTCGGCTGCGAACCGCTCCAGCGAAAGCTGTAGATCACGATCTGATGAAGCCAATAAGACCACATCATCTGCAAAAAGCAGAGACGCAATCCTAAGGCCACCAAAACAGATCCCCTCAACACCTTGGCTGCACCTAGAAATTCTGTCCATAAAAATTATGAACAGAATCGGTGACAAAGGGCAACCTTGGCGGAGTCCAACTCTCACCGGGAACAAGCCCGACTTACTGCAGGCGATGCGGACCAGGCTCTAACACCGGTCATACAGGGACCTAACAGCCCGTATCAAAGGGCCCGGTACCCCATACTCCCAGAGTACCCCCCACAGGGTTCCCCGAGGGACGCGGTCGAACGCCTTCTCCAAGTCCACAAAGCACATGTAGACCGATTGGGCAAACTCCCACGCACCCTCCAGGACCCTGCTGAGGGTGTAGAGCTGGTCCAGTGTTCCACGGCCAGGACGAAAACCACACTGCTCCTCCTGAATCCGAGGTTCGACTATCTGACGGACCCTCCTCTCCAGAACCCCCGAGTAGACTTTACCAGGGAGGCTTAAGAGCGTGATTCCCCTGTAGTTGGAACACACTCTACGGTCCCCCTTTTTGAATAGGGGGACCACCACCCCGGTCTGCCAATCCAGGGGAACTTCCCCCGATGTCCATGCAATATTACAGAGTCGCGTAAGCCAACACAACCCTGCAACATCCAGAGCCTTAAGGAACTCTGGGCGAATCTCATCCACCCCTGGGGCCCTGCCACCGAGGAGCTTTTTAACCACCTCGGTGACCTCAGCAACAGAGATTGGAGGGCCCGACACAGAGTCCCCAGGCTCTGCTTCCTCAGTGGAAGACGTGCCGGTGGGATTGAGGAGGTCTTCAAAGTATTCCGCCCACCGACCCACAACATCCCGAGTTGAGGTTAGCAGCACACCACTCCCACTATAAACAGTGTTGGTGGCGTACCGCTTTCCCTCCCAGAGACGCCGGATGGTGGACCAGAATCACCTTGAAGCCGTGCGGAAGTCATTCTCCATGGCCTCTTTGAACTCCTCCCATGCCCGAGTTTTTGCCTCAGCGACCACCCGAGCCGCATGTCGCTTGGACTGCCGGTACCCATCAGCTGCTTCCGGGGTCCCACAAGCCAAAAAGGCCCGATAGGACTCCTTCTTAAGCCTGACAGCATCCCTCACCGACGGTGTCCACCATCGGGTTCGAGGGTTGCTGCCGCGACAGGCACCGACAACCTTGCGGCCGCAGCTCTGGTAAGCCGCCTCAACAATAGAGGCACGAAACATGGTCCACTCGGACTCAGTGTCCCCCACCTCCCTCGGAACATATTCGAAGTTCTCCCGGAGGTGGGAGTTAAAACTCAGTCTCTGTCTCGTTTTTTTTCTTTCTTTCTATCCTATTTAAAATAATAAAATAAAAAACTACACTAGGTAACATGATGCATGCTCAATAATCCAGGTAGAAAAATCTAAAAAAGTTAAATCTGGTCCTCTGGACATTTAAAAAAACAAAACAAAGCAAAACAACAAAAAAATATAGAAACGTTTCGTCTCTCATCCGAGAGACTTCCTCAGTCTGAGTTGCTGTATTCAGCTCAGTTAAATAGCACCTTCTCAGAGTGGATCAACCAGTTTTGCTGCTGACAACCAAAACCAGCTGATCACATGCTCAAGAAGGACCATCAGCCTAACAATGGATCATTAGCACACTGATGGCTGTTTACTATTCACAGAGGGTTGAGTGATACTAGCAATCACAGCATTGTAAGAGGGGGACAATTGAACATGTAGGCCTCCACCCCGTTTAACGATGGACGGTTTCTTTTCACAAAGATGGCCTCCT